TCCAGAGCGCGGGCTAGCTTGCTTCTTGAGTTGTTCGACGCAAGCTTCCGCGGACACTATTGAAATAACCGGCCGCGGGTGTCTGTTTTTGAATATGACCCGCAGGAGCTACGCAAAATCATAGTGCTGGAATGGTGCACGTATTCAAAAATCAAAAGCTGATGGCCTCTGGGCCTTTGCGCTAGCGAGGCTAGACCCGCACAACGCCAGGACATTCTTCATCCAGACGCTTGAGGTACTGGTCCTGGGTCTTGGCCCTGACTCGGCATAGGGTGCAAATACACGTGCCGCGAATATATTCCCAGCGGTGGAGCTCGCCTACGGGCCCTGGGGGCTCGGAGGGGTGGGGGCGATAAGGCCTAGGAGGAGGAGGGATGGCCGCAGAGCCACAGGCATATTCAGCCGAGGCAGCTCCGATGGGCGGGTTCTCACTGGCAGGACGGCCCAAGGATTCCTTACCCGCTTCCGTGGCCAGCGATGACCACCTGGGGAGGGCCCTGGCAACATAAAACAAAAATCGTCCGCAGCAGGCTTTGGTCGTAACTGCTCTGCTCTAGCTCCGACTGGGACGGTTGGCAGAGGGTTGCTGCGGCTCGCCTGGCTGCTTTGTCCGCTGCGTCGTTACCTAGAGCACTGTCAAAAACCCGGGGTAAGAATCTGGTGGGCTTTTACCTTCACGAGACAAGTAGACGGCGTCACGACAGCTTTGCCCGCCAGAACCTTGAACCCAGCGTGTTGGTTTTTTTCCTGGGGTATCCAGGAGTCTGAAAGAGGTGAATGGCACCTTTGTAGTCCGTGTGGACCTGGGTAACTAAGGGCGAGGTGGTGCACGCAGCTATGGTTGCAAGCATCTCCGCCGCACCCGAGATTTGGGTGTAAAGGTTGCCCACCTGGCCTGGCAACATCGCGAAGGGTTCCTCGTTTCGCATGTTGACAACGGCCCAACCAGCCGACTGGAAAGCTGGGTGTCTCGAATTGTCGCAGCTGCCGTCCACGTAAACAGGTCCTGAGAAAGCTTCCTCCAGGCTAACTTCGGGGTCAGCACGCCAAAACTGGCAATTCGCCAGCCCTGTTCCGCTCGGGGGGCAAACGTTAAAACCAGGCCTGATCTGGAAACCGAATTTCAGGGGCGGATCTTGTCCTTGAAGGATGAGATCCTGCTCTCCTGGCGATCGTGCTCTATCTCGCTCCTCCTGCGAGATGGGGCACTGAGGCAAACGGTGATGCAATGAGTCATTGGGGGCACTACATTCACACTGGGTGTCTATATCATACCCTGCAGCTTTGGCCCTGGGCTTTGTCCAGATGCCTTGCGTGAGGAAGGTTAGAAGACTGCCCCGCTCCTGCTTGGTTAAATTGGGGCTGGCGAGGACCCTCGTGGCAACTTGGGCGTCCACCTGGGAGCCTGCGCGACCTGGCTTGCAAGCAGCTCGCTCTCTGAGCTGCTGCTGCCAGGCTTGCTGCATTTTCTGTTGCACAAAAGCTGGCGAGACGCGCGATAGAGGATATTGCTGTCCTCCCGAAGCTTGAAAGACCAAAGGGAACACTAGGGTCCAGCCTATGCGATGCAAGGAAAGCATGGAAGCGGCGAAGGGGCCCCGAACGCTGCTCCAGCGCGAGGGGGCCTGGCTCATAAGGGCCTCTCCCTTCGCGCGGAGGGGGGGGGGTAGGGGCGCGAGGCCTTGGGCTGGACTGGTGGTGGCCGACCACGCTATTAAATGCCAAACTAGAGCGGGTCCTAGGGCACTTTCCACGTGGGGTCACCGATCAGAAGGAGGCTCAGGCATCTGCTTCTCGTGGCACATTTGGGTCCAGCTATTTTTATAGACTGCTGCTGAGCCGTGGCCAGCTGGCCGTTGTTGAGGCCCGTGACCTCGTGGCCGAAAGAGGCTGCCGCAACAATTTGCGTGTTGTAGATCTTGCGCGTATCCCCTCCGGCTCTCCTGATGGCTGCAAGTCCCCCCCCATCCTCTTTTTGATTCTGTCCGTCCTGGCTTTGGCAACTCGATCCGTTCTCCACCTGCGCTGGGGGGCTCCTGCTGCGGTCTCGCAGCCGAGGTTGGGTCCCGAAGTGTCCGTTGTGCTGCCTGCTCGAGCTTGCACCCCGCGCTGCACTTGTCGGCGCACTTGGTCTGAAGAGGCGAAGAGCTGAGTCTTTGCGGGGGCGATCTTGCTGTCGAGATCGGTCTGGGTGCTATCTGGCAAGCTCTGGGTGCCGCGGTTCAGGCGGCTGTCGATGCGGCAGATCTTGTAATCATGATTATTTCAGATGGTATCGTCTATGAACATGTAGATGTCTACATAGGGTTCTGCCTGGTCCAGGAGTCCAGGGGATCTACCATGTACATGGTAGATCTAACATGTACATGTATGAGGTATGTAGCAAACCCACGCCCCGCAGCTATGCCATGTACTGTGTTACCCGCCGACATCACCAGGTCCTGGAGTCCTACATATCTGGGGCTTGCGTAAATCCCCAGGAGAATCCCGAGCAGGGTGGCGGGGACACCACTGCGAAGGGCTCGGGTAGCAAGCTTTCTGCGTTTAAGGTGTTCGTAGTAGTTGCCGAGGTCGTAGAGAACCATAGCTGAATGTAGTTGTTCGTTACGCTTGGAGTAGCGCTCGCAATCTTGGCTCTGCTTGAAAACTAGCGCCACTATAGAATGCCCAGCTTGGTGAGCGAGGAATGGGCGCCTGTGATTCCTTTCCCGTTCTCTCGCTGCTGACTGTCTTACTCTAGCCCAAGCTCGATACAGGCCGGACATCATTTCGATCGGTCTCATTGTTGGTTTCGTTGCCTGCGGATCTTGTTGCTTGTGCTTCGTGCTAAGAATTGAGATTGTTGCCTGTGTCTGCGAGGGCATGAAGCCTAGGCTCTCGATGAGGAACAACAGCTGCGCGACAATGTCTGCCTGCTGCTCGGTGATGAGCGTGAGATACCTCGGGTGGACTCCGTCCCACGTTGAGGCTGTCGTCACTGAACAACTCCTAGCTGCTTCCTGAAGGGCCTCGCCGTCCATCGGTCCCATGGCTATGATGTCATCGATGCCCCTTGGAACTGGATTATATTTTGGCTTGTCCGGGGTGTCCCAGATGCTGGCAAGTCGGTCGGCTTCCCCTTCTAGAATGCTGCTTGGGCGACCCGGCCATCGTCCCTTGACGAGGGTTGATGCTGGCTTCCAGACTTCCAGGCTCCTCGTCCATCTGCGGGCCCAGCCGACTCCTCCCTGGAGGGAACTTTGGACCCGCGAGGCCCAGGCTCTGGCCGATTCAGAATGTTGCTGTTTCCGTTCGCTGTCTATGGCTCGGTCCAGGCCCTGAAGAATATCATTTATAGCCTGGTCGGCTGCGCCCGCGGATAGCACTCCAGCGGCTGCGCCTGCACGGAGGAGTTCTCCAAGCAGCAATGCTGTCGCCAACAGCTGCTTCAAATATTCGACCGGTGCAAACTCCTCTGGCGAGTCCTGCAGGCCCGCCACCAAATACCCTAGCTGCTTAGTGCCAGCCTTCGAAACGACGAAATTGATGTCGACGAGGCGTCTTCGAGGCCATCGAAGTGGGGCCTCCAGAGACTTCCAACCTGCACGTACTCTAGTATCACGCCTTTTGGCTCGTGCCCATTTGACCACTGGGGGGCTCGCACGTGGGGCCGCAGAGTGTCTAAGAGGGGTGTCCGTGAGGCTGCTGAGGGACTGCTCAAGGTCCTGAACCACCGTGAAGTAGCAATAATCCAAGATGGCCTGGCGCTGTGGAGTTCCGAGAGGCGTAGCCGCATCATGAAGTGCAGCATTGGCATAGCTAATCACACTTTCGCTTCGGGTCCAGCTTGTTGGCCTCTAAGACGGGCCGAACGGTTTGACTGGAGGAAGTCGCTAGGGCTTCTTCAGGACTGGCACAAGAAAACTATCGTCGCCTTGAAAGTCTAGACAAACTGGCCTGTGAGGAGACAGCGGGCACCTGGTCCAAGTCTGAACTTTCTCCGTCCACTCGCCCAGGGTTTCGCTGATCAGGAACTAATCCAGAACATTGCTCGATTTGGCTTTCCGACACGTAGGTTCCATTGGGGCCGCAATCTTCAGAGAGGCCCTGTTCAACACTTCCGCTGTTTCGATATTCTCGGGGGACAGGTTGAAATCCCCCGCCACAATGATAGGTGGGCGGAGTCTGTCCTGTTGGACCGCAATGTCTGCGAGCAGGCCCAGGTTGGTCTTACCTAGGCCTTCGGAGGCGAGGAAATACGTGCTCATGGGGCCTACTTTCGGCAAGCCTGGGGCCTCCAGGCAGACACCTGCAAGGCGGCTCTTGTCAACGTGGCTCTCGAAGTGCATCGGCTCAACCCCCGGGCCGAGCCCGTCGCGGACGAGGATGGCCACTCCGTTGACGCGCTCCCCGTTGTCATTGAAACTGGCTGGCGGGATGTATGCCAGCCATCCCCGCTGCTGGCACCACTGGGTCTTCTGGGCAATGATGCCCCCATCGCGTAGCCTGTGTTCCTGGGCGCATATCAGCGTCACATCATTCACCTACTGCGACTCAGCGAACTGCTCGAAAGTTGGCCAGCAGCTGCCATTGAAGGTAACTAGCTTGATGATGTCAAAGAGGCGATTTATCTGCTTCTTGTCGGCCAGCGTTTGTGGCCGCACGGAGTCTCTTGGCCGCCTCCTCGTCCTTATTCTGCGCCATGAGGTTGGCGACCTCGTCCAGGGCATGCTTGTCGCCGCTGCCCCAGCCCACGAAGGCCATGGCCTCGTCCTCCTCCTCTGAGTCTGGCCCAACTGCTTTGGCCATGCCATCGTGCAGACTCTCTGGCGTTGGTGCCGAAAAGGGCGGTGGAGGTTGGGTGGGCGCTGGTAGCGGCGGGGTCGGCGTTGGCGACGGCGATGCGCTGTGTCCGCCACTGCGCTCTCGTGCTGCTTCTTGAGCTGGTCGAAGGTGTTGGCCGGGTCCTGCACTTTGGCCTGCGGCACTGGCGGGGCGACCCCTCCTGGCGGGATCTTCGCCTGCAGAGCCGCGTAGACCATCTCTGAGATGTCTGTGTTCTCGGATGCCTGCTGCGCTGCCGCGTGGGCCGCCATGGCCCTCTGCGCCTCGAGCTGCTGCAGCTCGTCCTTCGTGTCCGCGAGCTCCTTGGATCTCGTCTTGTACTGGGTGGCCAGGGACGTAATCTGCGCCGCGATGTCGGTGAGCTCTTGCTGGAAACCCTCCACTTTCTGCTTTGTGATCTGCTCTTGGTCGTGCAGCGACTGGGTCTGCTGGTCGAGACTCTTGCCTCGCAGCGCTTCCATCTTCGCATGCTTGAGTATCTCCAGCGCGTCGGCGTATTCTTTTCCCTGCCCCCCGACCCACTTCTCCCAGGAGGTGACTTTGGCCTGAGCCAGTGCGACTGGGCCAGGTTGGGCGGGTGCTCCTGGGTCTTTGTCAGACGCTTGCTGATGCGGTGGCAGCTCTTCCTTGCCGTCGTCCTCAGATCGAACTCGGGGTTCCCAAGCAGCTCCTCTGCCCCCTCGGCCACTGGTGCGGGGCGGGTGGGAGGGCTGCCTGCTGCTCGGTCGACTCCGTTGGCCGAGGGGGTGGAGGTGCGAGCCGCACTGCGAGCAAGCCTTGGCAGGCGCCCATTCCCACCCGCGGCACTTGGCGCGGGGGCACACCAGGTTCTTGCCGCGGGAAGCCATGGCGCAGCACTGACGAGGGCGAGCGTGCCAAAGAAGAGTCTTGCTGGAGAGATCGTGGTTGCGGGCGGAGCGCGGGCTCCGAACCGACCGATGCCGAACACCGAAGGGAGGAGGGCCTGAGGCAGGGGCTGCCCTGCCACCCTCGGAGGCCTGCTGTGGGCGGGCTCGCCTCGAGCCAGCCCTTCGGCTGCAGGCAAGTACGAAGCCGCAGGGCCACGGTTTCGTACTTGAGCCAGAATGGCTACGGGGGAGGAGGAGGAGGAGGAGGAGGAGGAGGAGGGAGGAGGAGGAGGAGGAGGGGAGGAGGAGGAGGAGGAGGAGGAGGAGGAGGGAGGAGGAGGAGGACGAGGAGGAGGAGGAGGAGGAGGAGGAGAGGAGGAGGAGGAGGAGGGGGAGGACGAGGAGAAGGAGGAGGAGAAGATAATGAGCGGGGAGAGGGAGGGGGGGGGGGGAGGGGGAGGGGGAGGGGGGGGGGAGGAGGAGGAGGAGGAGGAGGAGGAGGAGGAGGAGGAGGAGGAGGAGGAGGAGGAGGAGGAGGAGGAGGACAATGCTGAGGAGGAGGGATAGGAGGTCCATGTCGAGGAGGTTTCATGAGGAGGGGATATATATATATATATATATATATATATATATACAGTCCATGATGGAGGAGGGGGATAATGAAGAGCAGGAGGAGGATGGGGAGGTCCGTGATGATGAGGAGGAGGGAGAGGGGAGCGCGCGCCCAGTCGGCTCCGTCCATCATCCACAGTCCGGTGGTCAGCCCGAAGCTGGATCCGGCTATGGACCCGACCGTGGAGGACATCAAGGCAGCTCGGCGTCTGCCTCGGCCAGGTGCGAATCACGAGCTAGATGCTCGTCCTGGGGACCTTCCTGGAGCCACTCGCTCTGCTCATGCGCCGATGCTGCGTCGATCGTCCAGCGACATGAGTCGTACTTGAGTCGAACTGGGGTCGAATTGAAATCTAATTGGAATCGAGCAGAGCCGTTCGATGGGCGCTTGAGAGGTCCCTCGAACGAGCATCTAAGAGATGGAAGAGAGGAGGGTCGAACGAGTCGCGCCGAAGGGTCTTCCTCGATTTCGGCCCTGGGGGCCCGTTTGGGGCGGCCTCGGGGCCATCAGAAATTAGCTCTGGACAACGAGCTGGAGAAGATGAACCTTGGGGGGGGCGTTTTTTTTTGAATTTCTTTTTTACTGTAAAATTTGCTGTTGAACAATGACAGCAACATCCTCTGAAGGAGGAAAGGAACAGGTGGAGAGGACGGGGATGTGGAGCACGAGGAGGAACAGGGGGAGAGGACAAGGAACAAGAGGGAGGGGAATGGGGTGTGGGGCAAGGGGGAGAGGTGAGGAGGAAGAGACGGAGGAGGTGAAGGAGGAGGAGGAGGAGAAGGAGGAGTTGTGAGATGGAGAGGGGGATGATGCTGCTGCTGCTGCGGCTGTAGCTGCTGATGATAATGCTGATACTGATGATGATGATGCTGATGATGTGGTGGTGGTGGTGATGATGATGAGGATGATGATGATGGTGATGATGATCATTATGACTGTGATGCTGATGATGATGTGGCTGCTGATGCTGCTGACGATGACGATGACGATGACGTCGACGACGCTGATGATGATTATGCATATGATACTAATGATGATGACGGTTATGATTCTAATAACGATGTTGATGATACTGACGACGATGATGATAACGATGATAATGATGATGATGCTGGCCACGATGATGCTGACGATGCTGATGATGACGATGACACTGATGATGACGATGCTGATGGTGAGTATGACGATGTTGACGATGAGGATAAGGATGCTAATTTAAATGATGATGATGATGCTGCTGATGCTGCTGCTGATGATGATGATGATCATGACGATGATGATGCGGCCGATGATGCTGCTGATGATGATGTGATGATGCAGATGCTGATGGTGATGACGATAATGGTACTGATGCTGATGCTGATGCTGATGTTGATGCTGATGTACATGCTGCTGGTGACGTTGCTGATGATGATGCTACTGGCTATGCTGGTAATCATGATGCTGCCGATGATGATGCTGCTGCGGCTGATGATGACGATGATGATGATGGTGATGATGATGCTGGTGACCATGATGATGCTGCGGATGATGGTGATGGTGATGTCGACGATGATGATGCTGATGATGTTGATTGTGACTATGACGATGAAGCGGGGTTTCGGACACCAATGCTGCTCATGATGTGGCTGATGCTGCTGATGGTGATGCTGATGATGCTGATGACGCTGACGCTGATGCTGATGATGGTGATGGTGATGATGGTGATGATGGCGATGCTGCTGATGATGATGCTGATGCAGTCAATGCACTCCTATCCGCACCACCATCCCGCTGCCTTTGTCTTCTCTCCTTTGCACTGCCGCGTACCTTATCTGACTGTTGCAGTTATATCGGCTTAGAAAGCAGAAAAGGAGCGTGCCCGCCCTCGCGCGCGTCGGCTGACGGGCAGGCCTCCTCCCTTCAGGGTTATTCTACAGTCAGCTTAACGGAACATTTCTTCTTCGCCATGGTTTCGGCGGGGCCCCCCTGATCTTGGGACACTATCGGAACATATTGCAGGGATTACCGATGTCCAGGCAAAACGCTGGTTATCAGCCGAAGCGGCGGCTCAGCCGTTGGCTTCGCTGAGCATGTGCTCGCAGGAAGGAACGCTCGGATAAGTAGAACAACAACACCGTCCAGAGCGTATTAAGAGGAAAAGCGCTTCTAGGTGGCGGCCTAGTTCTCTCGATCTTTCCAGAGTGTGCAAGCGTTGGAGTCCGTGTTTGATTTGAGAGATTCCCTTATTGCTAACCAGGCAAATATAAGAGCTTAAACGCCGGGCGGAGGGCATGGCTCAGCCAGTGCTCCCGTGAGAAGGCCATCTGAAATCGCATCATCGCCGTCGAGCCCGATGACGTCGGGCAACTCGATCCGCGGAAAGGAGACATCGCCGAAAAAAAATCCCACAGGAATGGCGGGTGAAGGAAATCGGAACGAGGAACAAGTGACGCAGTTTGTGATGATTGGACAGGGCGAAGACGAAAGCGACGGACAGTCAGGGGGAGAGTACTCACATTCGATCAAAAGCAACGAAGAATTTGCACAATTTCATATGTCGCCTGGACCATCGTATCATCTCAATCTTCTCCTGGACGAATCTGACGGGCTCGCCTCAGGCGTAGATTTGTCAGATGCGGAGACGATCGATTACGCGCCGGCTGAGGACCTTCGGAAGACTCTCCTTGATTCGGATGGCGAGCTTGGGGATGAAAGGCGCCCCGACAGAGAGAGAGAGAGAGAGAACTGGTCGTGGAAGGGGGAGTTCGTCGGCTCAGCCGATGGTGAATTCGCCCGATGCCCCGCTCCCAAAGACAAAGAGAGCCAAAAACGATACTGAATATCTTAATCCCCCACACTTATCGCAGGGCTTCTATCGGCCAGATTTCACGCAACCAAGGGCTGACCATGGCAGTGTGCCAGAGCTTGGCGAGCTCAGTCTGCAAGACGAAAGGGATGAACAAACGCAGAGACAACGCGACGCTCTTAGGAACAAGGGGTCAAGAACGAGGGATCAACATGCACCCGCATCCAGCAGGGGTCGTGAAAAAAAAAAGCTCCAAGAGCCGGGCGCTCCAGTTCCACGAAGTTTCATGCCCTCGAGTCACCTCGTCCACTGTCGAATAGGACCTCCAGCAGTTTTTCGATCTGGGACAACTGCTGAAACGCAGTCTCAAGATGCCCGCCTCAGGCGGATAATCGTTGCCAGGGTAAAGCGCGCAAGCCGGGGGGTTCGTTTCGCCGACCTGTATGCGCACAATGTTCGAGGGTGTGCCCGAAGTGCGGTTTGGCGTGGTTCTGCGAAGAGTGCGTTCCGCTGGAGGAACATAATTGCCGTCGCATTGCCATTCAGGAGTGGGGGGAAAACCAGAAACATGATATTGAACAGCTGAGAGCAGCAACTGCAAAGATGCAACATATTCTTCATAAGGGCGCATGCGGGTAAGACGGCCGCCGAAGAAACCATCCGCAAACTCGCCGAATCCGAGGCAGCAAAAGAGGGCAATGGCAGATAGGACTGAAAAAGAAAAGGCTGCCATTGCAGAAGGCGCGCAGAAACGAATGCTGCGAGCGGAGGCGGAAGTAGCCGGTATTGCGGGCGTGGTTCAGCGGCGTCTCGCCCAAAAAGAGGAGTAACAACGAAATATTTAGAGTGCGGCCGAACATATGTTATCATTGTCTTAACAGCAGGCCGAGAAAACGGAGGGCTAGCCTAGCTGCGCCCCGCTGCGGGTTCAGACAATGCGTCGTCGCGTAAGAAGTTTTGGTTCGAGGGAACCGTGTCATGTCGTTGCTGCCCCGCCGACGTTTCAAACCCATTGCCCGGCCTCTTCTTTTGGAACTTGCCTTAGTGACTCAAGGGGTTCAGTTAGTAACTTATCTCTACTACGCTTATGTCCTTGATCGGGGACCTGTGAACCTTCCGAATACCGTTCGCAGAAGTACATGCGTCCATGTCGCGTCGTCGCCCCCTCATCAAATCTCCCGAGCTACTTCTGCCTTGCACTGCGCATGGGTTGGGTGCGTCGCCAGGGTGATTCCTTAGGTCGGATTCCAAAAAACAGGTTTTTGGCGCCCAATCCTTAGTCCAGTTTCCTGAATAAGTGGTCTTTAGTAACTAGTATTCTGGATTCTTTAGTGAGGGGTCCGGACCAAGGCTTCCAGGATTCCCGATTACATATATATATATATATATAATTTTCTATCCATCCTGCGGTGCTGGGTCATCGTTTTTAAGAAATGTCACCCCGCGTCTCACTCAATCATTCCTCCTCCTCCCTCCCCCCATCATCATTTTCATCACCATCACCATCATCGCGATCATCATCATCATTACCACACCCCATCAGCCAAACCATCAACACCATCATCGTCATCATCAGCATCATCATCATCCACATCATCCACATCATACACACTATCATCACCATCATCATCATCATCATTTTCATCATCATGATCATCGTCATCACACTAAGCGCTTCGTGGCCCCACGGTGAGCTCCACCGAAGGCCCCAGTGGCGGTGTTCGCATGTGTCCCCTTCACCCATTGCAGCGTTTCGTGGCCCCATACGGAGCTGACTCTTCCGAAGGCCTCAGTGGCGCTGTTCGCACGTGTATCCCCCACCCAGTGCAGCATTTCGTGGCCCCACAAGGACCTCCACCGGAGGCCTCAGTGGCGGGGTTCGTATGTGTCCTGCCCACCCAGTACAGCGTTTCGTGGCCCCATACGGAGCTACACCGACGGCCTCAGTGTATGTGTTCGCATGCGTTTCCCCCGCTCATTACACTACAGCTTTTCATGGCCCCATAGGAGTTCCACAAAAGTCCCCAGTGGCGGTGTTCGCATTTGTTCCCCCCCAGTACAGTCAGCGGCGATGATCGCATGCGTTTCCCCCGTCCAGCACAGCGCTTCGTGGCCCCAGAGGGGGGAGCTCCACCGGAGGCCTCAGTGGCGGGGTTCGTAGCGTCTCCCCCACCCAGTGCAGCGTTTCGTGGCCCCATGGGGAGCTAGCTCTTCCGAAGGCGTCATTGGCGGTGTTCGCATGCGCCTCCCCCGCACAGTGCAGCGTTTCGTGGCCTCACAGGGAGCTCCACCGAAGGCCCCAAGTGCGGTGTTCGCATGCGTTTCCCCCACCCAGTACAGCGTTTTGTGGCACCACAGGGAACTCTTCCGAAGGCCTCAGTGGCGGTGTTCGCATGCGTTTCCCCCACCCAAGCGTTTCGTAGCCCCATATGGAACCGCCTCGAATCCGTGACACCCCAGCAATTTTTTAAGACGAATGTGCGCGGCGCCAAAGTGAGAGCCACATTTGGAAGCCAGCGGGGCCTCCATTTATGAGTGAAGCTATTGCCAACGTTTAAGCTTCAGGGTCATCAGTGGTGGGGAAGTCTTAGGCGAAACGCCTGGCGCGCCCTTTCGGCCGGCCTCGGGATGCAGCAGGTAGGAGTAACGACAAGGAATGGAGGAGTAGGTGGAGGAGGAACAGGAAGAGGAGGTGGAGGAGGAGGAGAAGGAGGAGGAGCAGGAGGAGGAGGAGGGCCGTGCGACGGCGGTGCCCAGTGCCTCGACGAGTCTGCGGCCGGGCCCGTCAGCGAGGCGGAGTCCACCGTCGAAGGCCCGCCCTCCCCTCGTCGACTGGGGATCGACTGCAGAACTGATTTGTTCCCAAGTTGAGTCCACCGCCGAGTATACAAGAAGCACGTATATTGTTCGTAGGTCTACGGGGCATGACATTTTTTTGTAGATTTGGCGGGGAAATGAATTTTGGGGTAGATCAATTCTGTAGTCGATCGCCCATTCGACCTCGGCAAGCGGCGCGAAGGGGAGGGATGGTGCCCATATCGGCATGACTGTTATGGGTATGTAAAACATGGAGACGAGGCTAGCGGTGGGGACGCGCGCGGGGGCGGGCCTTCTCAGAAGGCTCAGAGAAGGTCTCCGAAGCCACAGGGGGCTTCTCAGCAGGCCGGAGGGCTTCTGAGAAGCCCCGCCGCCTCTCTGAAAAGGCTTGCCTCCAGTCTCTCACCCCATCGAAATGGGTACGGAAAGAATGGGGACGAAGACCGACAGCAGTTCATGCCCATTTTGAAGAGCGCTCGCCGTCGGTGTCGCCACGCGAACGTTGTCCACTTGAGGCAAAACATGCGGCCAGCACCGCCCACCCCCACCCCCAGCAAAAGCCCCCACTCCCCGCCTGGTGCCAGGCTGTCCTGGCTGGGGGTGGGTGTTTTTTTTTTTGGGGGGGGGGATGGGGTTCTTGTGGGCCAAAAGACCACCCTCACCCGCAGCCAGGACCTCCTGGATCACCAGGTCGGGAGTGGGGGTCCTGGCTGGGGGTGGGGGTAGGTTATGCTGTCCTCACTGTGGCCGAGACAGGCATCCGACCTCTCCCCCAGGACTAGTTTTTCATCCCCCGTCGTTTGTTGACGGTCCCGAGGCCCGGCGAGGGCCCCCAGAGGCCGAAAACGGCGAACCTCGCCGAATCGAAGTTTTCAATACGTTGGAGGTTTGGGTGGGTTCATCTGTCGCCAAGACATGTCGCCTGCCCAGCAGCGGCCTCCGCGAGAGTGTTTGGCAGCAGCTGCTGGGCTGGGCACCCTGCTGGCCAGAGGCGTGCAGGCGTTACCGCGCGTGGCGGCGCGGTGCGCGAACCCCCGCTGCCGCTTCCTTAGACCGTTTTCATTAAAGGGTGGTTTGCTACAGGGAGATTTGTCCACCGCCGTCGATTTTGGCCGTCTCGTGTGCGAGAACTTCTACGAATGGTAGCCTGGACCGTGGGGGGTGCACGCACGACGCCCTCGCCTCCCTTCCTTCTCATCGTCATTCCCCTTTCCTCTTCCCCCTCCGCCCGTGCCTGGGACCTTTGAAGGTTTCTGCCGTCCTCTATGTTTTGCCGGATGGATTGTGAACCTGCGCTTCCGTCGGTCCGATCTCATCTTGGGGTAGCAGGCCTTCGTTTGTTTCGGGAGGTTTTCCAGCCTCGGGGTGCCTTCCAGCAGCCGCGACTCGCCGAGGGCGTTCCCAGGGTGCCGGGGGTGTGCCTACATCGGCCGCCGGAGACCCGAGTCATGTGACCCGCAAGCTGGACCTTTGCTCGTCGTGCTAAGAAGTCACAGCGGGAGGCCTCTGGGCCGCCAGGATGAAGACTCGATGATCCTCAGGACGTGTGTTAGCCCAACCAGTAGATCTTTACATCGACTGCGTCGTATCGAGGGGCCTCGATGGACAAACACACGTTGGGGCTAACACACGTTCTGAGAATCATCGAAAGATGGGCGCAAGGATGAGGGGCTTTGTCTTTTATGCGATCGGTCCGATCCAATATCGACTCTGGGGCTGGCCCGATCTGATTCGTTTTCGATGATCCGACGATTTGAGGCGGCCTGATGCTTTGCTTGCACGGTGCTGTTGCGCATCCTGGCGGGGCCGATGCGATTCGATTTCCAATCCTAGCCGGTGCAGCCCGATCCCACGCACGTTCAGAGCCGAAGTCATTTCCCGATCCGATGCTGGCGGATCCCGGGATGAAGGACGGGAGATTTTCGAAGCCTGGGGTGGTATCAGCGTTGGAAGCGCGAACCTGTCTGCTTTGGCATGATGCGCATGCCAGAACCTCCACTTCAGCCGTGTGCCCTGTCCGTGCCCGAGGCAGAGGATCTTGGCCTCCTCCTCGGCCTCTTCTCGGCGATTACGATTGGTGTGGTTACGCTGGGGTGTGGTGTTCGATCGGCGCCGTTGGGGCTCTATCGCCGGGGAGGGGAAGAGATATCTGTCGAGGTCGTCGCCCGCAGCCCCAGGCGCGGGTTGCAGTCCACACCCTTCGGAGTCGCCGATCTTCGCCCTTCCTCGGCCTGACCTCGTCGTGCCCCCTGCCCAGGCTCCCCCCCCCCTGCCTCCTGTCCTGTCCACCTCCGGAAGCGCCAGAGCAGCGAGCCCCGCCCTGCCCGCTGGCCCTCTTGCGCAGGTACCTCCTTCGGCAGGAGGGCTTCAGGCCGCGCCCCGCGGCATCGCCTGCGCCAGCCTCGGGAGCCGGGGGGCAGTGGGCGAGAAAGGGGGGGAGGCGACGAGAAGGGAGGGGGAGCGCAGGAGAGGGGAGGGGAGGATGCGAGGGTGAGGGGGTGGTGGGGGGGGGGAGAGGGGCGAGAAGGCAAGCGGGGTGCGCTCGCGCCGTGTCTGACATCCTACCTCTCTCGTCCATCCCTTCCCGTTGCGCTGTTTTTTATCTGTTCGCCGACGCGTGTCATAGCGGACCTGGACCTGCAAGCAGGATCCTGTCTCCTACCGTGTTAGGCGCAATCGGAAAATGAAGTGACGCGAGGGGGGAGGGAGGGCAGAGACGAGGGGAGGATGGGGAAAGGGGAGGGGAGATGATGGAAGACCGGAGGGTAGGGAAGTAGCGGGGAGGGGACGGAGGGGAGGGACGGCCTGGTCGATAGGGGAGAGAGGCGTGGGGACGTATGATGACTTGGAGGATGACGCATCAGGGAAGAGGAGGATGGCAGGAGGCCTCCAGCGCACGCCAGTGGGCACGGTGCATACCATCCTACGCTCGCATGCCGCTGTGCCCGCATACATTTTGCACTGCGTTGTACCGTCCAGCCTCTTCCCCTCCGTGCTCTCATCCCCGCGGGCATGCCTCTTGCCATCTGGCCGGCACGTGCCGATGCCAGTTCGACCTTGGTGCTATCCGCGACCCTCGAGGTTCCCCACACGGTGCGGTGATCATACCTTGTGGTGAGCCAGTGGGGATTCGATTCGAAGTGACTGCACGGTTTTGGGACCTGGGTCGTTCTCCGAGGACGTCTTGGGTGGCTGGGGCCTCCGAGGTCCCAAACCTGTGTGGTAACGGGCCGTGCGGTGAGGGGACTCCGAGGTCACCGCGCGTTCTGTCACCGCAGCGTTTTGGGACCCCCAAGACTCGACAGCGGTGACCGTCTTGCTTCGCTCCTGTCCCGCCCACTTCCCCAGACCCTGCTGCCTCTCTTGCTTTGGGTTCCCTAGGGTTTTTTTTTAAGGACACCAGAGTTCAAAACCCGTCTAGGCATACACAAAACGTCCATACCCAGAACGACAATGCCCAGCACGACCTCTCTAAACTCGTTTTGGGCATGCTGAAAATGCCAACCTGCACCTCTTACGCACGCCCGACGACCCCACATGCCCGCCTTACGTACGCAGGCCTATGTTGGCCTCCCAGAGTCTTAATCTCATCGCAGGGAACCCAACTCCTGCTCCCGTCCCGCCCTGGGGCGCGGCCTGACAGGCCCCTTCCGTGACGGTCCTCTCACCCTCGAGGCCCGCCTGTCGCCGCGTGCCCAGCTTTTCCGATCGAGGCTGGGCACGAAGGAGACGGGTCCTGAGGGAAACGGGTCCTGGACCCTGCGGCCTTCCCCAGGACCAGCTTTTCACTTTGGGTGGTTGCCTGACAGTTCTGGGAGCCCAAGAAGAGGAACAAGTTGCAGGACCCGTTTCCCTCAGGACCCGTTTGCTTCATGGCGTGAGACGAGGGGGTCGTCACAGAAGGCGTCGGTTTGCTAGGGGTTGCCTAGGTCGCCGATCCTTGCTGTTCTGCCAGGCTTGCCTGGTCGTGGCCGCCTCCTGGCCTGGAGCCCAGGGCCACCTGGACTCACTCTTGCAGCCAAGATGCTGACACAAGGACCCCTCCGACCTCCAGAGGGGCTCTGGTTTTCGTGCCGCTTCTCAGTTCTAGGTCGGGAAACATGTCCGTGGCCGAGGCTCTCCGTGGGGCCAGAAAAGCCCTTCGTCCCCTCTTCGGCGCTCCTCGTCGTAGCACGATCCCAGATTTCCGTCGTCGTGTGTTCTCACAACGTGGACCCTGGGAGGTCTGGACCCCTTCCCCAGGACGGGAGTGTCATCCCAAGCAGTTTTTTGACGGTCCCTGGGCCCGGTGAGGGCCCTTTAGAGGCCGAAGATTGGCCCAAACCTTGGTCGTTTTGTCTTTGCCTCCGCCCCCTCCTCAGCGGCCCCGGCAGGCTCGACGGGCGCGCCCGCGATGCAGGAGGGGCCCTCCGCGGGGCTGCTTTCGGCGCTGGCGCGCGCCCCCCTAGCCCCCCTTTGGGAGGGCGCCAACACTTGTCGTCGTTGTCGTCGCCGTCGCCGCCGCCGCCGCCGCCGCCGTCGTCGTCGTCGTCGTCATCATCTTTGAGCATTTTTCGGCTATTTGTTTAATTTTTCGTCCAAGCTCCCCCTGTAGGAGGACATGCCTTTCCTCCCCCTCCTCCTCTCCCCCTTCTTTTCCTTGTCCTGCCCTTCCCGCTCCCTCGCCGCTACTCCCTGCTCTCCCCCGCTCGCATTGTCCCGCGCACGCATTCGTGCTCGCACTCGCACACTCTCATGCACACACGCACACACGCGCACACACATTCACGCTCTCTCTCTCTCTCTCTTTGTTTTCTCTCTCTCTCTCTCTATATCTCTTCCTCTCCATCTCCATCTCTCTCTCTCTCTCTTTCTCTCCCCCCCCGCCCCGCGTGCTGCCTGCCAGAGGGCGCCAGCAACAGTCGTGATGTTCCCCCAGGTCTCCAACGCATAGAACTACTCAATCCCAGACCTCCAGCGTCTCGAAGCAATCGGGACGAAGGGCTTTTCATAGTTTTCGGCCTCGCGGGGCCCTTACTGGGCCTCGGGACTGTGGAATAACGACTGGTGATGAAAAGCTGGTCCATGGGAAGTGGTCGAGAGGTCGGAAATCGATACGCAGGACGTCTGAGATGCGGAGGTTGTTCGCCGTTTTCGGTGTCCAGGGCAACGCCCACCCGCCCCGCGTACAGTCAACCCGCATTGTAAAGATGGGCAACCTTCCCAAGGCTACCCTTGCATCCTTGCTCCTTCGGCCCATCCTTAGCGACTTTCGCTGGCCACCCTCGTTCGAAAAACGTTAGCATGGGCCTCCAAGGCTCTTGCATCCTTACCGCGCATCTTTAACATACGGGTTGACTGTACTGCCTGCTAGAGGGCGCCAACAGTACTCGGGGATGATCCCCTAGGGGTGAAGGAATCCGTCAGACGCTACGCGTCCGTCCTCGTTCACTTCTGTCTCTCTCCTCCTCCTCCTCCTCCTCCTCCTCCTCCTCCTCCTTCCTCTTCCCCCTCTGCCCGAGTCCGAGGCCATTGTAAGTTTTTGTTGCCTTCAGCTCGGCACCACCAAGCTTCGTCGCGTGGACATTCCCCTCAGTTTTTTCTCATAGCGAGTATTGGAAATTTGAAGTCTGAGGGTGTTCGCCGTTTTTGGCCTCCGGCCTCTCGGGGCCCCTGGACTGTCGACAAACGACTCGGGATGAAAAACCTACCTCCGGGAAAGGGTTGGGACTTCCGGGCACCGCGTAATCTGGAGTTGGAAAAACAATACATCGGCTCTCTGAGCCTCACGACGTGTGTTAGCCCAATGCGATTTTACCCCGTTCAGTTCCGCCGATAGCATGCAGGCCGTGTCGGCCCTCCTTGCACCGCCTGCATCGTATCGGAGGGCCTCGGTGGACAAAGCGCACGTTGAAGTTAACACGTTCTGAGGATCATCGATGATCCCAGATCTCCCACAGTGTGATTTTGTCAGTGGGAATCTCCCCCCAGGCAAGGGGTCGGGAGCTCAGGGGCCGCGGATTGAGAACATCATCTCGGAGTACTTCTGGGATTACGCCTGGGCCGATCCTTGGGCCCAGGGTGTGCCTGGCCAGGATTGGTGTGGGAGTATACACCCGCCTTCTCTCATCGTAAAGCCAGTCGCGTCGGGAGGTCTGTGGCCATTTTTGGCCTCTAGGTGGCCCCGCTGGGCCCCAGGATGGTCAAAAGCAAGTTAGAACGAACAGCTGTTCTGAGGCAAGGGGTTCCTGAGATCCGATGTATGGATTTTTTCAACACGCAGTCCCCGGAAGTCTTGACCCTTTCCCCTGGGCCAGTTTTTCACCCCGAGATGTTTCTTGACGGTCCTGGGGTCTTGCGAGGGCCCCCAGAGGCCGAACAGTTGCGCGCCTGGGGTTATTCAATGGGGCTTGTGCCATTCCGACGACCCCCAGAATTCTGAGTGAGTGCTTGCGACGATCGTGGAATCTGTCTAGTGGGTTAGGAGCCTATTGTATGCATAAGAGGGGCTCTTGGGAGCAGCTTGGAGAGCTCTTGGAGGGCTCTTGGGGGCATCTGGGGGGCCGTTTGGGGCTTCTTGGGGTTCTCTTGGAGGCCTCTTGATCCCTCTTGTGGGCGCCTCTGGGGCTTCAGGGGGGCTTTTGGAGCCATCTTGCTGGGAACGGCTTGACATGACAGGTCGCAGTTCTCCTTTTGGGCCCAGCCCTTTTGGGCTGTCTTGGGGCTCTCTTGGAACCCTTCTGGGCAGTCCTGGGACGAACAAGGCGAGCATGCTAAACATGTACGTCTTCCGAAAGGGAATGGAACGTTTTTTGCCTCTTGGGGCCTTCTCGGCGGTCCTCCAGGAGCACTCTTGGGCTGTCTTTGGGGCCTCGTGGGCCGTCTCGACGCCATCTTGGACCGCCGTGGGGCTACCTGGGACTATCTTGGCGCTCTGTTAGGGCCCTGTTGGGCCGTCGTGGTGCTCTTTTGAGGCTCCAGAGGCCCTGGGCGAGGCGTTGACGAGCTCGTAGGGGGACCTCCCCCCCTCAAACGGTATCTTGGACCCCAGGGGCAAACGGTGAGGGGGATAGCCAAACACCTCCCCCGGCAAGCAGGGGTCGGCGGATCTCAAGGTCTATTGGCTTCATGGGGTCTTCCTGGGTGCCGCTTGGGGCCTTCTTGGGGGCTGCTATGGCTTCCTATTTTTTTTGCGGAACATAAGATGATGTCGTCCTCGGCAGCCCGTAGCGCTGGGTCTCTGGACTGTCTTTGGAAGGACCCTCAAGGCATGAACTCTCCTAGGCAGTCCAGAGGAGTTGAGTAACAGAAGCGCACAGAACGAAGCAGTCAATCGAGCGATGACTCCACCCCTGTCTGAATCAGGCAGGCGAGCGTTTCCGCTTTCGATTACGTTGGCGATTTTTGTGGCTGGACGACGACCGACCGAGCGACGACCGACGACAACGACCGACCCGCCGACCCGCCGACCCACCGACCGACGACGACGACCGACTGCCAGACTGGCCAACGACTACGACGACGACGACGACGACGACCGAGGAGCCAGCTCAGGGCTCACTGTAGCAATATGATAGCCAACTGCGCCCCTCCTCCTGGGGGGTTTCTCCGAAGGGCTTAGGCGACCCGCCCTTCTCCTCCTCCTACTCCTCTTCCCTCCTCCTCCTCCTCCTCCTCGTCCTCCTCCTCTATCTCCTCCTCCCCCTCCCCCTCCTCCTCCTCCTCCTCCTCCTCCTCCTCCTCCTCCTCCTCATCCTTCCCCTCCTCGGGTCGCCTATGGCCCCAGGGGAACCCGTGCACCTCCTCCCCCGTAGAATCTCAACGCGGGCGGGCTCTAAGGCCATGGATCTGATTTCAAGTCGAACAACTCGCATGCCAGGCAGGGTAAACATATTCGCATGAAGCAATGGGACGGGAATTTGACCCGGGGAAGACGAATTCGGATCCACGCATACGGAAATCGGATCCACGCCGCACGGCTAAAACAACACATCTTCGCCGCAAGGCGCACATAACACAAACTACCGATGAATTCTTCTCGGTCTGCTGGGCGCGCAGCCGACCCCTCCCCGCCCGTGGCACGCCGCGCCGCAGGCACCCCTGCAGCAGCCCGCGGCCGTGCCGTCGGGAGGCCCGTGCCGCGGGCGCGAGGGGCAGCTCCTCCTCCGACGTCGCCTCCTCGTCCTCCTCCATCCTTTTGCCTCATGAATGACGCCTCCCTGTCGTGTCCCCATGCGTGTCGGTAGGGCGGGCCGGGCCTTTCGGCAGAGACCTCCTCACCATTTATGATTTTGAAGCTTGAAATCTGTAAGAGCTTCAGGGGTGGATGGGGCTGGCTTTCAAAATCAGGCTCCCGCCTTAGCGCCGCGTGCATTCGTCTCAGCACTTTGCGCAGCAATTTCAAGGGGGTGGGGGTGATTTTCAAAGTGTGGCTCTCGCCTTAGCGCCGCGCGCATTCGTCTTAACAGCTTGCAGCAGTTTCAAGGATGCATCTGGTCCGTTTTCAAAATGGGGATATCGCCTTGGTAGCGCCGCGCGCATTCCTTTTTTAAGGATTGAAGGCTGCTCCTTTTCAAAATTCGGCTGTCGCTTTCGCGCCTCGCACATTCGTCTTCCAGATTCAACCGTTTCATTGATGGGGGGCGGTTCCTTTTCACAATCGGGCTCTCGCCTCAGCGCCGCGCGCATTCGTCGTGCAAAGCTCGAAACAGCTGAAAGAGCGCGCCCGCAGCGCCGGGAATACGGAGAGGGGGGCCCCAGCTTCAAGCTACCCAACTCTCCCCTCCCTTCCAAAGGGGGGGGGGGCTTCCGAAGCTGCCCCCCCCCCCCCTCCCTTCTGTAAGGGTTTCTAAGCTAGGGGGGCCCAGGCTAAGGGGGGGGGCTTCGAATCTGCCCCCCCCTCCATTCCTGGAGCAGAAGGTGAGCCTGGGCTTCCCTTTCAAAGGGGGGGGTTCGGAAGCTGCCCCCCCTCCCTCCCTTTTTGGTCTGGACACAGGGAAGGGGCGGCTTCAAGCTGCCCTCCTCCACCCTCCTTTGCAAAGGGGGGGGGCTTCCGAAGCTACCCCCCTCCCCCCTCCCTTCCGTAAGGATCTCGTAAGCTGGGAGGAGGGCCCTGGCTAAAGGGGGGCTTTGAAGCCACCCCTCCTCCCTCCCTCTCTTTTCGTCGTCGCCGCCGTCGGTGCCGCCGGCGCAGGCGCTTTCGTCGTCGTCGTTCTTGTCGTTGTCGTCGTCTTCGCTGTAGTCGTCGTCGCGGCCATCGTCAAGGTTTATTTCGGGAAGGTTTGTTGTACTTTTCGGCTTCTGCGGGCATTTTCTGGACTTCTGTGTTTTTGCACATTCAATGCGGCGTGTGAGACTGCGTTGGAGGGACCACGGAAGGGGTTCAGGAATGCATGTTGCAGCGATTTCAAGTCGTCGTCGTCGTCGTCGTCGTCGTCGTCGTCGTCGTCGTCGTCGTCGTCGCCGTCATGGAAGTTCGAGTCCGAGGTACGACGAGCTGTTTCGCTCTGTGTGGGCCCTGGGAGGGCGTAAGCTACCCCCCCCTCCTTCCTTTTTTGGTCTGGACACAGGGGGGGGCGGCTTTAAGCTACCCCCCTCCACCCTCCTTTGCAAAAGGGGGGGGTCTTCCGAAGCTACCCCCCCCTCCCTTCCGGGGTTCTGGCGAGAGCTGAATCCCTGCAGACAGGTGCGCACCGCAGCGCTCGAGAATGCATTGGAGAAAATCGTCGACCCCTGGTTCGTTTTCTTGTTTTCTTGTTTTCTCGGCCCCTGGTTCGTAGTCATGCTTTCTCGGGCCTTGATTCCTTTTATCGTTTTCTTGTTTTCTCGGCACCTGGTTCGTTTTCCCGTTTTCTCGACCCCTGGGTCGCGGTCTCGTTTTCTCCTACCCTGGTTTGTATTCTCGTTTTCTCGTTTTCTCGGCCCCTGGGTCGTGGTCTCGTTTTCTCGGGACCGGATTCCTTTTACCGTTTTCTCATTTTCTCGTCCCCTGGGTCTTGGTCGTGTTTTCTCTGACCCTGGTTTGTTTTCGCGTTTTTTGTGCCCTTGGGTGGTTTGTTTTCTCTTTTTCTCGTTTTCTCGGCCCCTGGGTTGTGGTCTCGTTTTCTCGGACCCTGGTTCGTTTTCTAGTTTTCTTGTGTTCTCGGCCCTTGGGTCGTGGTTCAGTTTTCTCGGAGCCTGGTTTGTTTTATCGTTTTCTTGTTTTCTCGGCCCCTTGGTCGTGGTCTCGTTTTCTCGGACTCCGTTTCGTTGTCTCTTTTTCTCGTTTTCTCGCCCCCTGGGTTGTGGTCTCGTTTTCTCGGGCCCTGGTTCGTTTTCTCGTTTTCTCATTTTCTCTGCCCCTGGGTCGTGGTTTTGTTTTCGCTGACCATGGTTAGTGTTCTCATTTTCTCGTTTTTTTCTGCCCCTGGGTCGTGGTTCTGTTTTCTCTGACCCTGGTTTGTTTTTTTCTCGTTTTCTCGTTTTCTCTGCCCCTGGGTCGTGGTCTCGTTTTCTCTGGGCTTTCTCGGCCCCTGGGTAGTTTTCTCGTGTTCTTGTTTTCGCGGCCCCTGGGTCGTGGTTCAGTTTTCTCGGAAGCTGGCTTGTTTCTATCGTTTTCTCGTTTTCTCGGCCCCTGGGTCGTAGTCTCGTTTTCTCGGTCCCTGGTTCGTTTTCTCTTTTTACCTAACAGCTCTTGCTGATAGGTTTCTAGTGGTTTCAAAAGAGAGCATCATGACTCCTCAGGGGGGTCTGGGCGGGACCCGGACAGGCTGCCGCCGCGGCTGCCGCCGAAGCCGAAATCGCTTTGGACATCCTCGCAAAATCGCTCTTGGTGCTCCCAGAACTCCATTCCCGGGCCACATTTTGGATGCCCGGAGCCAACTGTAGGCCACTTCGTGCTCTTCGACTTCCCAGAACTCCATTCCCGGGCCACATTTTGGATGCCCGGAGCCAACTGTAGGCCACTTCGTGCTCTTCGATTTCCCAGAACTCCATTCCCGGGCCACATTTTGGATGCCCGGAGCCAACTGTAGGCCACTTCGTGCTCTTCAAGTTCCCAGAACTCCATTCCTGGGCATGATTTTGAATGCCCGGAGCCAACTGTAGGCCACTTCGTGTTCTTCTACTTCCCAGAACTCCATTCCTGGGCCACATTTTGAATGCTGAGGCAGGCTGATGCTGCGGCCGAGGCAGGCTGAGGCTGAGGCAGGCTGAGGCTGAGGCCGAGGCTGAAGGCAGACTGAGGCTGAGGCTGAAGCAGACTGAGGCTGAGGCAGGCAGGCTGAGGCTGAGGCTGAAGCAGGCTGATGCTGAGGCAGGCTGAGGCTGAGGCTGAGGCTGATGCAGGCTGAGGCTGAGGCAGGCTGAGGCTGAGGCCGAGGCTGAAGGCAGACTGAGGCTGAGGCTGAAGCAGGCTGAGGCTGAGGCTGAGGCAGGCTGAGGCTGAGGCTGAGAGCTGAGGCTGAGGCAGGCTGAGGCTGAGGCTGTGACTGCGACTGCCGTTGCCGCTGCGACTGTCATCGCGAATGCGACTACGACTGCGAGAACAGCAGAATTCGACAACTGGATTTTCATCTGAATCTTAAGGGGAATGCTTTCAGATATGCTTCTACACATCGCTGTTAGGTTGCTTTGCCGGGATAATTCTCCTTTTCTCGGCCCCTGGGTCGTCGTCTCGTTTTCTCGGTCCCTGGTTCGTTTTCTCTTTTCTCGTTTTCTCGTCCCCTGGGTCGTGGTTCCGTTTTTCGGACCGATATTCGCGTTTTCTCGGCCTGGGTCGTGGTCTCGTTTGCTCGGGCCTTGGTTCCTTTTATCGTTTTATCGTTTTCTCGGCCCCTGGGTCGTTATCTCGTTTTTCCGGACCCTGGTTCATTGTCTAGTTTTCTCGTTTTCTCGGCTTCTGGGTCGTGGTCTCGTTTTCTCGGGCCCTGGTTCGTTTCTCGTTTTCTCGTTTTCTCGGCCCTTGGGTCGTGTTCTCGCTTTCTCGGGCTCTGGTGCGTTTTCTCGTTGTCTCGTTTTCTCGGCCCCTGGGTCGTGGTTTTGTTTTCTCGGGCACTGGCTTGTTTTCTCGTTGTCTCGTTTTGTCGGCCCCTGGGTCGTGGTCTCGCTTTCTCGGACCCTGGTTTGTTTTCGCGTTTTCTCTGCCCCTGGGTCGTGGTCTCGTTTTCTCGGACCCTGATTAGTTTTCTCGTTTTCTCGTTGTTTTCTCGTTTTCTCGGGCACTGGCTTGTTTTCTCGTTGTCTCGTTTTGGGCCGTCGTCTCGTTCTCGGACCCTGATTAGTTTTCTCGTTTTCTCGCCCCCTGGGTCGTGGTCTCGTTTTCTCTGACCCTGGGTCGTCGTCGGTCGTCGGTCGTCGGTCGTGCGTCGTCCGTCGTCCGTCGTCCGTCTTCGTATGACCTCGCCCCCGTCGTGACGACCATGACGAGGTCATTCGAAGACGGCGACAATGACGGCGACGGCGGCGACGACGACGACGAGGACGACGACGGCGTCGTACGAAGACGTCGAGCGACGGCGACGGCAACGACAACGGCGACGGGGGAGGATCGTCCGGCAAAGGGGAGTTCAAGGGAAAGGGGTGTTAGCTAAGCCGCCCCTCCCCTTTTGGAAAGGGGGGGAGGGGAGGGGAGCTTCCGGCAGGGGGGAGAAACATTGATGGAAGGCGGGGGGGGGCTTCTGGCAGAGGGGGGTCAAAGGAGTGGGCTGGCTAAGCTCCCCTCCCATTTCGTAAGGGGGGGAGGGGGGGGTAGCTTCCCGGGTGCCGAAAGGGGGGAGGGTGGGGGGGCTGCCAAGTTACCCCCTCCCCGCCCGCAAGCCGTCTCGCTCACATCCCGACCTCCCCACCCGCCATCACCACACATAACGTAGCACCCGAGTCTGGCCCGAGCCTCAGCATATTCCAAGGGCAGGTCGTCTGGGAATGGGGGAGCTACTACTGGGGCCATCCGCCGCGCCGCCGCTGCCTCGCCGCCGCCGCCGCCGCCGCCCGCCGCTGCCTCGCCCGCCGTCGCGCCCCCGCCGCGGCGCCGCCGCGCCGCCGCCGGCGCCGCCGCCGGCCTGCCGCCAGCCGCCGCGCCGCCGACCCGCCAGCCCACCGCCCCCCCCGCCGCCCGCGCCGCCCCCCGCTGCCAACCGCCGCAGCAGCCTCAGC